ATGTGCCTGACTTAAAAAATAAAACGAGAAAAAAGAAGATTTTAAGTATAAAAATAGAAAAGACAGTATTTCTTAGTGCAAAAAAAATCTGATAAAAAACAAACTATTTGTTCATCGATGAGTACTATATCACAATGGATGAATAATAAAAAAAATCACTATTCCAATCTCAACTAGATTCCAATCTCTACTGCAATATACCTGGTAGTATTAGTCAACTTATCAATAGTTCTTTCGTTTGAGCTCATTTTTTTTCTGTAACATATAAGCATGACATCCACTCACAGTAAAAATTTCAAGTCAAATGCATGTATGTTTGATGAGATATAGGTGTCACAAAAAAATCACAAAAAATGCGTTTTTTGATAATAGTGTCCTCAGAAAAATTTAAATATCTCGAGAACAGAACAGTATTTTTTCAAACGACTTGTGTCAAAGTTCTTAAAACTGTTCCCTCTACAACATATCCAAAAATTGAACGAAAATTGTTGACCTCGATTGAATCGCTTCTATGGGAGTCGGTCGTGGTTTACACGGACTGGCTGATGCAATAGAAAAAAAAGTTGATGCTTATATTTCGGTCATTTCAAGTTAGGGCTGAAATTCCGAATATAAGGTGTAGTAGAGCAAAGTCTGCTCTGCAAATCTCACTATACCACTAGACCGAGCAATACAGCCATTTTTAGTTTCTAAGGACTAAGTATGAGCACTACCATTTTTGTCATAGATTCCAATATCACTCAAAAATAACTTTTATTAGAGGAACGAAAAATAGTAATTCGTATATGGGGAAAAGTGCCACGCCTTGGGAACAAGAATATTTAATTAGAATAAATTTTTGTCCATGTAATGTTGAAAAAGTCAAGATCACAAAATGTTATATTTTTCTCAATTTTTTCGTTTTTTCAGCTAAACTTGTGACTCTTATAACTCTCTGGAGGAACATTCGTCTAAGCTAATTTTTTTACCATAACCATAACTCTTCGAGTTCTACAAGATAAGAGTACATTCGGTCAATTTACAGATAGTTGTGTTTTTTGTGGGAGAAACGTCATGGAATAGGCCGTAAATGTTTATTGGAAGTTGAACATAACGGTTATTGTATGCTATTAAGTCATATCATTACGAAAATGATAAACAAGTAGCTGTGTTGCAACGTTAAATAGAAAAATTTTGAGGTTAGTTCATCGCTTTGTTTGTACAATATAATTTCATAATACTTCTTGTTCTCTTCATTTCTAGATTTAAGAACATGGGATTGAAAAAGTGGTTTATTACAGTATTCAAATGAGAAGGCATTGCAAGATGTGGTGAAATATTTATATTGCGCAACAAAAGATTTTTAACTGAAAAAGAGACCCATTAACATAGACATAAATCTCCTATTTGATTAATTTTGTGCAACTCGCGTATATTTTCGAAGAAAATAGTGAGCGTAAGTTTTAAGATCAAGTTTTCGCGGCTTCGCCTTCTCTTCCGCTCTTCCCATTGCAGACATCAGCAACGGCACGCTATAGGCTTCGTATGTATTCAACAAAAAAAAACGAGTAAAACAGTATGAAGAACATGAGCTCGACTGCTATACAATATTTCAATGTTTTCATGGTTATTTGAAAATAGCTATAATATATTTGTTAAAGTTCTTAATAGTGTAATCGTCGACTTGTTTTAGAATTTAAACTTGTATATTAAAAATCAAGGATGAAGAGTAGTAATATATATTGATCTGTCACAGCACTTATATTAATCAACATGAGAAGCATGATTGGATCTTTTTCTCAGTTTGAAAAGTAAACTATATCACCATTTATGGATTGATTGAGATATATAGTGATATAGTTAGAGCTGCTGATGCATATAAAGTGCATTATTGTAATTATCTTATTTGTGAAATAGTGGATGGTGAAAAAAAAAAATAATTTCAAACTAAAGAAAAAACAAAAAAAATGACTATTATCGAGTATATAGCAACAATTATAAATGAAATCGGGAGCTCTCAAGCGAAAAAAAAAATTTCTATTTTAAATGTAGAAATAAATAATAAATTGTTGCTCTTGTCATCGATTATTAGTGAAAACGACTACAGTCGACAGGAAATTTTTCAGTTTACAGATGATGTATTCGGATAACAAGATTTAAGGATATACGTGAGTTTCACATTTCAGCTCCAAAGGAGCTACGCTAAGAAGCTTTTTTTACTCTGATATTATCGTTCTTTAATTTGAAAAATAAAGTGATCAATGAAAAAAAATTCAGAAAGCTTGATAAAAAAAGTGTTAACCGATTATTCCATTCGTCAAGAAAGAACTTTCTGATTTCCATCGCTGTCGTTTTACAATATTATCCACGGGTATTTTCGTTTCATTTTCACCGATTAATGCATCATTCTTGTTCGTCATTGCTCAATAATAAGATGCAATTTAGAATCGAAAAATCAATCGAATAACTTTCAGAATCTCGGAAGAATATGAATCGACTTTTGTTAATTCCTAAGCGATGCATCTATTTTTATCATTTAGATATAACAATACAAATTTCATTTATATTTCGTCTCTTAAAGAGCATCTTGACATCTTTGGCCTCTAACTGGGTTTATACGTACGAGAGAACTTCACCAATTGATACTCTGTTTGAATAAAGTTATAGAACGTCGAAAGTGAAAAATGTCGAAAAGGTCCAATACAGAAAATGAATCTGGTTTTCCCGTCTGTAAAGGTGTTTGTTTCAGTTGAACTTTTTGCCGAGATTGATTCAAATGAAAATGTATGGATAAAAATGATCTTTTTCATCAACAAACGAAACTGAACAGTATATTTGTTTGTAACAGTTTACACAAGACGACGCGGGCAGGTAAAAACAAAATCGACTTCATTTTGTCGTCATTCGAATTCGTGACAGGTAAAAAGAAAAAAGAAAGCTGCTCTTTTTAACAAAATCATTCTTGTTTGGAGGAATTTCTTGAAAAAGTTAAGTATCGAAAACAATTCGCCGCTAAGAGTGATTTCTCGAACCTTTCTAGACTGATTAAAGATCAGTTTCTTGTTAGTTGACGATCTTTTCTTGAACAAAATTAACCAGCAACTCGAATAGAGAGGAACCTTCTTGCCGATAGGGTATGAGTGTGGGGTATGGGTGTGGGGTATCGATGTGAGTATTTATGTTGCCGAAGAGAAGACGCACACCCACGCATCCCATACATCCTTGTGTCTTTTTTGCAATATGTAATCGAACAAATCACATGATCGAAAGATATAAGCATCTTATAAAATCTCAACGAGGCAGCAAAAAAAACTAAGGTCGGGGCGGACAAGACGGGGAAAGCTTTTTCCGTGGTAGAGCGCGTCGGAGAACATAATATTTGTCAGACTCTCGTTTGGGGAAAATTATGTGGTTCTAGCTTCACACTATTGGTTATGGCTAGATGATCAGTATATTTAATCCCGGTCTGCAACGGGAACGAGAGATCTTATGTAAAATAAGTAAACAAGCATATCAACTTTGGTTATATTGATAATGAGATGAGTGATTTGAGAATATATTTGGTTTATTAATGTAAATATAACCATAAGCATATAATAATAATATAATAATGAAGAATAATATGAAAGGGGAAAAGACAAGGAGAAGATAGATGAATAATATTATGAGGGAGAAGGAAAACAACTTGTGACCAACGGGGAGGAAAATCCACAACAACTGAAGAGAAAAACAATAAGAAGGATAATCACTGGAAAAGTCCAGAGAAAAATATGTTATCCACTAAGAAGATAGACAAGGAATACCAATAGTGGATAAATGGACAGTTAGCAGTAATGAAACGACCTCTATTGACGCTAATACTATTCTTCCCATTTCGGCCTCTGATACTTGATAATTTTATTGAAGAATAAAAAGTGAATACTTATAGTATTATAATTTCACACGAACACTATTCAACTAATTTCATTTATATCTGGTATTTTCGTTACGTGTTGTATCCACCATCGATAAGCAAGTAACGATTCACCAATAATCAAACGTAAACTATATGTTAAACCTAAACATAAGTGAATAAAATTTCGATAAAATTCCTTTGTTTATTTACCTCCATACAAACCCAAAATATTTGTTAACATAATTACAGGATTATTTCTATCTGGTAATATATATTGACATTGTAATGGACTACATGTTTCAAAATAATTTGTATAATTACTTGTATTTTTCCATGTTTCTACAAATAATTCATCATTTAATTTTTGTAATGAAAAATTTTCAAATTTCGACAAACGAAATCCATCATATGGAAAACAACCAGTAACAATATCACCGGTTAATGGTTCACTACAATTTGATGAGATTGCACAACTACAATTCGATGATGAAAAATTGCGTGGAAATGTTTTCAATATATATTGTTCATTTTCATCAGTAAGATCAATTAGCCAATTAGTTCTGAAACGATGTAATAATTGATTAACACGAAATGAACCGACAATAAATGAAAGAGTACGACGGTAATTAGCTGGAATTTGAGAAATAAATGTTGAAATTAACGATTGTATTTGAATATCAAATGAAGAACGGGTTAATGTTTCTACGCTGATTAGTTCAAAAGTATCAAACACTTCTCTAGCATTTTCAATAAAACGATGAGATGATTGACATAATGAGGACAGTAAACGATAATGAGCACCTAATGCTGCTGATATATTATCCTTTTTTTTTCTTACATCAATGATGTATGATAAAGAAACATATTCACTTGAACATATTGAATGATATTCTGGTTTTATTGATAAAATTTGCGAATAGGGAATAGCTACTTTTGAGCACGGACATGAGAGACTTGAAAGATTCCTTCCACGAAGATCGTTGACAATATTCATTGTTGGATATTTTAATTTAATAGATTTTGTTTCTTGGTTGAAAGGGCCACAATAGATAATAGCAACAATCAAACATAATAAAAATAGAATTATATAAATACGAGTGGCAATAATTTCTTGATTTTGAAATCGTTTCTCTACCAAAGATGGATCACTCGCAAATAGATTCAATGATAACAGTTTGTTAAATACTTCATAAGAAACTTGTTGAGTCTGTTCTGACGAAGAAGATGGAGAATTTATCACTGTGTCTAAAATACGACAAACATCTTTTAACTGTTTCAAGCTTTTTTGTGGAACTCACTCATATCTAAGAAGAAAATGGTGAGTATAAGTTTTAAGGCGTAGTTTTACAACTCTCTATCCTCCTCCCCATTACAGACCATA